CGCCTACGTGCAGGCAACCGGCCCGACTTACCTGTTAATATGGGTTGTCTAATTCTAGGGTCTAATTTTCGGTGCGTTTGGAAATTCTGGCGGATTTTGCTTGATGGTGGAGAAATACTCGATTTATGCGCTATTATAATGAAGTAAATCCAATTTTTGCGCTCCATCCCTTAAGGGACTTCCCTCTTGATGCAAATGCAAGTTTCGTTTCGTAACTTGCTAATTTTACTAACAAAACAGTTTATTATAAAAGATAACAGTGTTTTCATGTACTATTTGATATACATTAATTTACAAATAATATATGTTAATATTTTCATGTATACACACGCGTACATACCGCGTGCATTAGACACACACTAGATAGATTAAGCAAATGTCAATAACTTGCAAAATTGAAATAAGGAAGCACAAAATTTACAGACTTCGTATACACGCAAGAGTTAGAGAGATTGAAAATCTAACTAACTAAACTAACTGATCGCGAACGGCCACCTGCTTTTCCATACTTAATGATTTTTCGCGACAGTATATTCTTTTTATTATCGGAAAATTCTATCATTGCTTCGTAACGCACTAAGGCCCAATTGTAACGGAACATTTTTTTTGTACTACAGTAAAATTTTATACGCACGCATTTTTATAATGATGAATGCACAGAAACCATCCCCACTACAGACCACTTATACCAGCTACGGCTCCTGGATGTTGTCCCTGCTAATCTAAATCTAATTTCACTTTACACTTTATACATTACACTTTTGCACTTTGCACTTTTGCACTTTGCACTTTTGCACTTTACACTTTTGCACTTTACACTTTTGCACTTTACACTTTTGCACTTTACACTTTTACACTTTTGCACTTTACACTTTTACACTTTTGCACTTTACACTTTTGCACTTTGCACATTTTATATCTAAAGATCTTATTACAAGTTCGCAGCCATTAGCTCTGGATATTATTTGCGACGAAGGATTGTTCGTTACGAATAATACCGATTACTACGTCTTACCACGTGGAGGTTGCTGCAACTGGAGACCCGGAGGTAGAAGAAATCGAAGTTCCTTCGATCTCCCTCTACATACAGTATACATACGTAGATGCATACTCTACATAGAGTCGACGAGCTTAATACTAAGTACGAAACCGTGGAAATTAAAGAAAACAAAATCCCTTTGATTTCCATAGTCCAAGTCTGACTTTGCCAAATAATTATTTGAACTAAGAGGAGTGAAGCTAAATCACGATACGACGCGACCATGAAACTGGACTTACAGAGTCAATTCCGTTTCCTCTGGTGGGTCTGATTCGAGAGAAAGACGATCAACGTCTCCGCCAGTACTCTACTCCCTGCATACCTGCTGCCGAGGGCCCAGATCCGAGCTAACAGTGTACGACGTAGGTAGCACCGCGTCGGGTTGCCCTGCCCTGGCGTCACCAGGTATGTCTGACGGTCGTAGGGTCCGAAACGGAGTTCTACTCTCTGCACAACGTCAGGAGTCCAGGACACGACTTGCACCGTCTTACGGCTCTTTTGAACTGCGCTGCGCCGGGAGCCTGGACTTGGCCTGACGCGTACAGAGAGGAGAAGATTCCTCGGAGGCGTCGATTGACCCTCTCTCAAATCAAACCCACTAGAGGACGGCAACCGATCTCGGCCAGTCATATGGTTGGTCACTACACTTATCACATGAAGCAATAGTGACCGAAGTGGAGCACGATGTTACGAGCCCAATATGGACTTACGAACAAACAAAACAAGTTGATTAATAATTATTTGGCAGAGAAGACACTCGTACACGCAACCTTAAAACTAACCAAACCAAACTAAGATACCAAGGAAAACTACAAATAGGAGGGACGCGCGATCGCGAGATCCATATCGAACGAAAGATCAACGACGAATGAGTTCTCACCCCTCGTGTACCTGTGTCGGTCGAGGGGTCGTGGCTCATTTGTGCCCCTCGAAGTAGAGAAGGGGAAGAACAAACATTGTTTGCCAAACAACAACCGCGTGACATGACGTGACATGTCGATTCAAAGGCTCGTTGGATCCATCCACAAAAGAATTTACGAAACATTAATACAACAGCATAATCATATTTCCCATCATTCTTGAAATAATAAGTATTGTTAATAATTAATTTAACTATTGTCAGAAATTAATATTTAGTTGGTGCAATCAGCAAATATTAAAATATTGACAAATTTCTCACGATTAATGTCTCGAATGAATATTTATTCCTAACCGTAATTGTTATTAATATTTAATTGAACACTAAATGATACTGTATGTATCATAAACGTTTAATCATTTTGGATTAAGTTTTAATTGTTCCAATCACTAGATATTGAAATATAAAAAAATATGTCACGACAAGCTGTGTAACGAGACATATTTATTCTGTTACTACCTACCCATTTCATCGCCTCACAGCATTTTTCACCATATAATGTGACATGAATTTCGGCTGTTCGCAAATAAAAAGATTTTCAAGCTTAAAAATTAAAATCATCTAAATAATAACAGTTAATTCGAGTATCTGTGGTGCATAATTGAATAATGTAATTTATTAATTAACAAGTCAGGATACAAAATTTAGATTGGCACCAGAAAGAACGTCCCTTAAGGGATGGAGCGTAAAAATTGGAGTTACTTCATTATAATAGAGCATAAATCGAGTATTAATCGTGTACAGTTAAATAATGAAATTTTAGTAATATTAGCAAGTTACGAGACAAATTTCAAAATAATTAAAAATTATCTCCGATCTACGATGTCCCAGGAAAAACGAAGTAGTCTTGCACTTATTTCTATTGAACATGAAATATCAGAAATATTGACTTATCAAAAATAATAGACGAATTTCAGTCTCTAAAAGTCAGAAGAGTCAATTTGAGAATGTTGGTACAGTAATTTTATTATTTAATTTTAGAATGTTTTAAAAGATGTAAGTACCGCTAACAATTATTTTTTTTTGTCATTTTCTTTATAAATAATTATTAAAATAAAATGATCAATACATATTTTACAAGTGCGATTGTTCATTTATCCTATTTTATATAGTACGAATATTTTTGAATTTCCTCAAATTTTGAAACAATAAAGGGGTGGCGAGAAATGGATTTGCACAGTGGCGGCCAAATACTCAGGATCGGCACTGGACTAAACTTGCATTTGTACCAAGAGGGTCCCTTAGGGAATGAAGCGCAAAAATTGAAATTGCTCTTAGATAGCGCATAATTAACGCACAAATCCAACTGCATGTTTTTCTGTCAATATTGCATATCATTAGACTGCGGATCTTTATGCAAAATAAAATCTTCGCCGACGTCCCTACAAAAATTGAACCTAAATAGGAATTTATTTTATTCTGCAAATATTGTAACATGAACTTTACTTTCAATCTTTTTTGTATTCTTGCATATTGTTTGGATTTTGTAGTTTCTTGCACATTCCAATTTCCTATAAATGCATAAAGGAGCGCAGTCTACTTATCATTAATATGTGGGGGGTGGCTTACTGGCAGCCTACCAACCCCCGTCCCCCCATTTAAATAAATTTTTTTGCGTTAAACGGATCGAGCGAAAATTTCTTTTCTTACGGATTTGAAGAGCACATAAATAGTGCATTATTATGCAATTTTGTCCTTAAATTTTTTTATGGTTGATAACCATTCTAGTTTCGGTTTTCATTTTTAAATGTAACACTATCCAACAAATTTAAACTTTTTTTAAATTCCGCGATATCCACTAGGTGATTCTTATAGGGTTCCTCGTCCTAAATACGAATCTGGAAGTGAAATTGCTCCATCACCCTTAGTTTTTGAGAAATACGAGATTTTGTAAAAACGGTCGATTTTTAGAGAAAACTTAGTACTACTTGAAAACTACGAACGCTAGAAAGTTCTATTTAGTCTTAAAAGATAGAGGAGTATTTTCTGAATATGGAGACATATTCCTTTAGAATTATCTGCTCTTTTGAATGCCTGTAAATGAACACCGAAGTTCAAAAAGTTGCCGACGCGAGTACTTTTCACGAAATACTTTTGTATTTTTATGAAAAGTTATTCGTCTAGGTCGAATTTACTATGCATTATAGGATTCTGCAAACATTTCTGAAGAGAAAACCACCCGCGGTAAATGTTGGAACGTTTTCTAGTTCGTACAGATCCAGAAAATATTAATTTTGAACGCACGAATTGTGTTTGCCGACGCGCAGGCTTCGCTCGTTTTATTTTGGAGAATCAGGGCCATCGTCATGCGTTCTGCACAATCGTCGCCACGTGCTTGAATAATAACCATCAAATTCTCGTAAATTCGTTAAAATTCGCCTCACTTTGTCGAATAGAAAACCATTTTAAAGCTTAATGTTTCTACTTTTTGATACTTTAATCTTTTGTTATTTAAGTTAGTGTTTGGGGGGTAAATTCTGCTCTAAACAGAGATTTTTTATAGGTAGCAGTTTTCATTAAAAATTAACAACAAAATATACAATTACAGATTGAATTAATTGTTAAATAATTCAATTTAGATTTAAATAAAGTTTGCTCAATACCAAATTAGCAAAAGTCGAATAATTGAAGATACAAAAACGGGAAATTAATGATTAAAATTTAAACAGTGGACAATTGTCTCCGTTTTGTTGAGTTGCAGTATAAATGAAATATTAAAAATGAATCTGGAAACTGTAAATGTAATACAAAATGAATCTGGAACATGTAAATGTAATACAAAAACCGATAGCGCATGGCACCGATTAGACGAATCCCGTAGCGACGGCCCTGACTGACCGAAACATAG